TATAAAAGCAATCGGACTTGCGGTTTTCAACAAGAAGTCAAAAATATCAGTTTTCACCAAAAATGACAAAAATAATCATCAAAATTAGAGAATTGAAGATATCATCATGAAATGAACAAATCTGAGAGAGGTCCACATGTAGTACCTATATATGTAATATAAAAGCAATCGGACTTGCGGTTTTCAACAAGAAGTCAAAAATATCACTTTTCACCAAAAATGACAAAAATAATCATCAAAATTAAATAATTGAAGATTTCACAACAAATTTACCAAATCTGAAAGAGGTCCACATGTAGTACCTATATATGTATTATAAAAGCAATCGAACTTACGGTTTTTAACAAGAAATCGAAAATATCACTTTTTACCAAAAATTACAAAAATATTCACCATATTAGGGAATTAAAGATACCATCACAAAATGAACAAATCTGAGAGAGGTCCACATGTAGTACCTATATATGTAATATTAAAGCAATTGGACTTGTGGTTTTTAACAAGAAGTTGAAAATATCACTTTTTACTAAAAATGACAAAAATATTCACCAAAATTAGAGAATTGAAGATATTATCATGAAATGAACAAATCTGAGTGAGGTCTACCCAAGGTACATATATACACCAAGTATCAAAGCATTCAGGCTTGTAGTTTTCAAGAAGAAGTTGAAAAAGTAAAACATTGACATGGACGACGACGACGGACAATAAAATGGAAAATGTTTAAAGCTCCACCTGGAAACCATTTAAAACACTAATTCATTGTTTTATTTGTGTTCTACTTTATCAATATCACTTTAATTTCATGTCATCATATGTAAAAAGTGTGTTCTGAAAACAATTTTAAGAACCTTACATATTGCTGTAGTCAGATTTTTGATAATTTTGCAATACACAAACTTATTAATAGTTGCTAGTTTGCCTCAGCCCCTAGGCGAACTTCTCCCAAATACGACTCTTTGAGAAGAGAGAGAGGGCGGCTTTTTAGTAATACTCGTTAGATGATTGACGTTTAATTAACCAGCTTCATGGTGTAGGATTACTGGAGCCAGTATTTTATTACTGACCTAAGAGGTCTAAAAGCAATGGAAAGGTTTTTTAAATAGAGTTAAAAGGTAGCAACACTGGGTTGCAGCATTTCAGTATATTTGTCAGCTACTGGGTAAATCAGGATTGTGTTTCACGCAGGAAATACTAAGGATCCTTCAAAATTGAATTTGTCAAAAAAAACAAAAAACATTTTTTTTGTAAGAGAGAGTTGCCTTCCAAAATTACCAACTTTATTTTTAATTGAATGACACTAAGTCATGTCTATAATGTAAATACTTTAAAACCATTTATTTTTACTGGGATTTAATTTCACTAATTTTACGTTTGAGCCTTTTCACTAAGTTCATAAATTTGGCACAGGAACAATGAGTTATATTGTTATTTTACATTTTCATGATGATTTAATTTTGTGGATTTTACAACCCAATAATTAATGTTTTCACAGTATACCATGTCACTTTAAAGTTGCATTATCCAATCACCTACACAACCACCCCCCCTCCTCCCCCACTCATTTGTCTATGCTTTGTCTATGATTGCCCCAATCTTTAATTTGTCGTGTTTTTTTTTAAATTCTGTTCAATTTCAATTCAACAGGTTTTGTGATTTCATAGTCTTGAATACATTCTTGTTAGTACAACATTCAGTTGTGGTTTACAGCATCATCAGATAAAGTTTGACTGCATCTTTATATAGACATATAATTACATGCAATGATATTTGCAGGATATCCTGGTCAAAAGTTGTTTGCAAAATTAACTAAAAATAAAATGAATTCTAGTGATATTTGGAATGTTTGTTGCAGAGTACAAATAGCTCAGTTTTGGTCAAGAAAACAGTAAATAATAGCAATATATACCTTCTTGAAATTTATCAGGCACACTGGCGTCATCGTAAAAAGATCTCATATTGGCTTCATAAAGGTTACCTAGTTAAAAAAAGAAAAATAATATCAAATAAACAAAAAATTATGAGTTTTTAATGCAACAGTTCAAAAATTTGTGACTTTTCTTCCATGCTCATATTTTTATTATATTTCACACACATACAGTAATTAATTCAAGAACATATCTGCTATATACAGATTGAAAATTCTCGTTTTTTAGTTCTTAAGTTATTGCCACTTTAACTGAGCAGTAGAGAAATGATAATCTTAAGAAAAATTGATCAGCAAAGATGAGAAATGGTGGGAAAATGGGAAGTTAATCTTGGCAATGCAAAAAGCAATGGTGGTTACCAAGGTAATATTCTGTGGGATTATCCCCTTAACCTCAATTCACATATTTTACTGTAAATGCACGTCCCTGCAATTCACAGAAAAAGACAGAATAACGTCAAAAGGGTCTTGACACAACTACAAATATCATTATTTCAGTTTAAAAGCCAAGCACGATAGCTACCATTAACACAAAAAACCTTCAAAATGCACCTCGATTATAGTATATGGCATTCACAAACACACTGCCTTTACGGCAATTCAAAAATACATCTTCATGTTATTGTGGGTATTCATGAAGCAGACAATAGTACCCATCAGGTAGACTTTTCTTTGTCACTATGAGTACACATTAAGTTATGATTTCTAAGGATTGCAACAATACACAACTTTTATGAAATGTAATTCACTAATCTGAGAGTCATTAGAATCTTTCAACAACCCTGAATTGGTTCACCTAATTCTTTAAATTCCCATCTGGAAAAATTGCGTCTCAACAAAACATTTTTCTTTTGATGCTATATTCCATATTTATTTTTTTTTTTATAATGTACATATTGGAAGGTTTCTTACGAGCAACAAATAATTTTTTTTTGGAATAAATAATTCAAGGATAAGTCAGTTTTAATCAAATTTCACAAAATTAAATCTGCATATTTTATTTTTCGTAACTAATGATCAAGACCTGTTGCTAACAGGAAATTATGACCATTTGTTTCAAAATTATAGAAATTGTAGAAAATAAATTGTGATCAAATGTGTTTTGATTTAAGAGATATTAATATTAACTTTCCCACTGCTATTCAGAAGAAAAATATTTGATTTCTCTGATTTTGTGGTACATGTACCATTCACCCGTTAGGTCTTTGCGATACACTGCTTTTTACTCTTTGATGACAGAATTTTTCGGACCAAAATTTTAGACCATAGACAAATTTTGGGAAAATTCAGGTGGTTTTAAATGGCAAAAGCCAACACTGCCCCAAAGGCTAAATTATTAATGTGCTAAAACTAGGTATGATTATATGAAAATGAACTTGGATGATTTCACACAACAATGAGCAACGTTTTCAAAGAATTTAATACAAATCAGACGTATGACATGTTTGCTTCAAATTTACAAAATGTAGATTGCAAGTCGAAACAAAACCTGATGTATAATTGTTTTAATCATGAAAGCTTGGTAACTGTTATTTCATTAATTTAATTACAGATATTGGTAACCAGGGTGAAAGGAGAAGATACGATATTGGCAATTCACGAAACAACCTGTAACCTTACCATGCTGATGCAGGTAATTTTATCTGTATTTTGGGACGAAACACAAAGAAGCGATCTGCCTCCCAGCTGATTCATCAAAACAGTCCACTGCTGTTACTACTCATCACTGTAGTTTCCACAGCAATTGAAATGACAATAAGACATGGGGAATAGCAAGTGAGTCCTTCACAACACCATGGTAACAAGGAGCTCCTGCTTTCATCCAAGCTAAACTGATTTGGTCCCGAAGCAGACTTCATCATCAGGGTTGCTGAGATGACAGCTTGCTCATAAGTAAACATCAAAACAAATCAAATAATGCAACTCTCCTGTCACTTGGGGCATCAGTACGCATCCCAGCAGGCCAACAACCAGTTCATGTTGCCTAGCAACAGATTTAATAAGTATTAAATTGCACAGACAATGTTGATATTTGCGTTGCAAACAATTTTAGTGTTGAATCCAAGACGTAACATATGTTATTACAGATCGTTTTAATACTATATTATCTACATAGATTCGGGTGGATCGGGTGGGATCCAGAAAAACCAAATTTACAATGTACAACAATAAGAAAAATAATGTTTTGCTCTACTGCTGCTTGTTTGCAGCGAAGGTATGACAGTTGATTAGTGTTCACTGGTTGGTACTGTACACCCTCATCACTGAAAACCATATGGTGTATAGATTCTTTGATGTCAGCTTAGCATAAAAGTATTCCTTATTAACTTGAATCTAGCTCCACTGTAGAAACAAGAATCTTATTATTAATCTCAAAACACAAGATAATCTCTTCAGTTATGATAAATTGCCTCATAATACATCCCTTAATCCATCCCAAACCATCTACTCAATCCCATTAATTTGCAAACAAAAAAATTATATAGTTTGTGCTTTTAGGAAATGAAATCTTTCAATTCTACCCTTAATTTTTGACTTCTCAATATCTAATTACCCTTTGCTTTTTATGGTTTATGGATTAACAAATCATTTCATTTATATTTTCAAATATTAATGTTTTTAAAAGGCAATTCGAAGTTTAATATAGAATCAAATAATTCATTAGCAAAATTATGAAGGTGAACACAAAATCTCACATATGGATTCTCATTAAGGTTGGTAGCTGTTACTCTCCATATTTATTAATATTGAGTTAGACAGCACAGAAAGAGATTTATCACTAATTTAGGAGAAAGATTCAACCTGTATCAAGCAGTACAGCAATTAATCGTTTCTTAAACAAGATATATTCAAAATAAAAACAAAATAGAAAATGTTCAATCATAGTTGGTATAATGTAAAAAGCACAGCACAATTATTTGCATATACAAGTCAAAATGTCTACTAGACATGTTTAAATGCAACTTAATTTTTAACTGTTAAAGACGCTAACATCATACGATAAATCTTCAAACATGCCCGAAGGTTTTAAATTGTCTTGACAAAAGACTATATATTAACTTAGAGAAACAAAATGAAGGCGCAGAGAAAAAATTCGTCCAAAGCATTTACACCTGACATGCGTAATATGAATTACACGACAGCTTTATCTGGACGGGTTTGTCAGTGTTACCGAATGACATTTTCGTTCTCAGTCAGGCTTTTAACAAATATACAGCTAAAAGGTTCCTCGTTAATATCGGGCATTTAGGTAGCATGTTTATATCACAAGTGAAGCAGGTTACTTTATCGGTTAAAAAGAGTCGCAACATGCAACTTTGCGCTAAAGGTTACCTTGTCAATCTCCCTTGACTCTTAACTAATAAAGTACCATTCAACAATTTCGAACACATCAACGTTACTGAAGCAAAAATGTGGACAGTAAAAACCGTCCAGCACTACAAGGCTAATTTCTTAGCATATATACATTATCTAGTAACATCATTGTAATACTGCATACAATTTAACACACATAACTAACAAACAAACAGACATGGCATCTTCCCTGCCTGCAATACTATCAAATGAGAAAATCACTATATAGTCATCGCGAACGTTACTACAGTCACCATCATCCAATCTATTAGTTTTTTGTTTGACCAAATCAGATTAAAATTATCCAAATTTATGAAAATATTGTTATTGCTGTCAATGAAAAGTATAACAATTTGTCATTGCCAGATAAAATGTCACAATTTGTCATTGTTAAATGAAATATTCAACAATTTGTCATTTTTTTTTCAAATGCAAAGTGTGGCAATTTCACATTGTCAACTAAAAATTGCAACGAATCATTGTCAATGAAAAGTGCAACAATTTGTCATTACAGTCAAATGAAAAGTATGATGATATTTTATTGCTGTCAACTAAAAGGTGTACAATTTGTCATGTCGAATGAAAAAGTGACAATATTCTCTCATCTTTGATGGAATGGAAAAGGTATTGTTTTTGGTAAATTGTAGTCAATTCAGGAAAAGCATCTTCTTATAGTGTGATAATTTTAGCAGGCAAACTAGAATGCAATACTGGTCCCACAGGAATTTTAAATTAAAGAACTGCTAGCTTACCATCGGGTGGACTGCTGTGTAACCCATAGGTTTCGGCTGGTCTTGGGTAGTTTATACATGTAGGCACTTCTGTGAACAGAAAACAAAATTCTTATTTAATTATTTGTACAAACCTCTAACAATCATGGTTTATATAAAAAATATTTACAAATTCAAGTGAAATATTTCTTGAAATTGTCCGGTTACTGAGACAATTTTCAGGTTACTTTTCTATAATAGATTTTTATATAACACAGATTTTTTTTAAATAAAAATTACATATTGGATTTCCCCCTAGTGATATCTAGCAACTGTAAATAATAATTTTACTGTCAAACCATATGTGCAGTAGATTTTTATCTCTATAATGTATAACATGAAATATATTTTTCAAAATTATCAGATATAAAATCCATACATTCATATGTGTTATATTTTATAAGGTATATAGTGCCCATCTCTTGTTCATTCAGTTCTGATCAAAGGATGGCACCTGCCTAATATCCTTACTTAACTGAGGAATAATATGTGATATACACAGCTCCAAAAACACAGTGTAACATCAGACTACCCAATTAAGCCAATAGATACTCTGAAATCTCATCTTCAAAATATGATTAGTTCATCGCTACATACTATCCAGTTTCATCTTACATGTGCTCAGAGGAGAGTAGTGGTGACCTGCGTCACTGTGGGCTACCTCATTAGCTGACAACTTAGAGTTTCAAGTTCCTCAGTTTAAAAAAAATAATAAAACCTACAGTTTAAAGTATTGTATTACTGTCTTTTAGTGATTTATAAGGTTGGCATTTAATATGATTGGCGGAAAGTTTGAGTAAAAAATGCCTTCCCTGATTGATAATGACTTGCTATAGCACACTACGGAGAAAATCTCCAATAGGAGACGATCTCATTTATTCATTGTGAGAGGATCTCATTTATTCTACATGTGTTGCACACGTACTGTATGTCAACTCACACAAATGTGAATACCACCATTTTGGAAATTAGCCAACTGTTATTTTCATTGGAGAATATACAGGAGTTTGTTCAATGCAAGCAAAACCAGACCACAATTTCATTTTCAATCATTTCATAGTATTTTATAGTCTTCCTAATTTATGAAATTTTTGATGCACTTGTTTTTGTTTTTTCCAATCAACAAAGAGGCTAAAGGCCTAAAGTCATTTGTTCTCGATTTGAATCGGTGCACAATACTGATAAATTGCTCATGAAAAGTTAATTCGAAAAAGAAAGATCATATTTTCGATGAAAGTTCATCCCTAGCAATAGATGAATCAATTCCCAACAGTAAATAACACAGGACTTGTGTGGTTAGGGGTCTTGCTTATCTCACCAAAAAAAATCCAACAATTTTTCTACTGATGTAAAAATAAAGGAAACCTAATCAGTGTGGTAAATGGAATATTTAAGAAATCTTTGCTTGGTTTGCCAAGCAGAAACGATCACAAGATATCTCCATCTGTGCCTCCAGCCATCAAGCAACAACTTTCAATAGACACTTTTCACTTTGTTTGTCGATGTGCAAACTGAAATTACAGTGTACAAGTCGAGGGTAATGATACACACAATCAAAGCACTGTTGGGCATATTTTACCTCACTTTGCGCAAAGCTTGGTTCAAATCAGATTATACAGGCACAATATCTCCATTTAAACCAATGTTAAATTGTTGAATGTATGCTTGGACTGTCAACATATATCAATGAAACCACAGGCACCATGGAATTACATTTTCAGTCAATTTCAATCACTTCAATTTAAGATATAGATTACTCAGACATATTAAAATTATTTAATTTTAAAATAAAAATGTAATGTTTTTTAAAAGTTCAAAGAAAATGAAAATACGTGGCAGTGAAAAATAAATGGTTTACAGTATTTTTTTAATTTACCCATAAGAAAAATAAATAAAGGGGGGAAACAGTTTATAAGTAACAATACGCTGTGCGATCACAACAACTTTCAACAATAGTGCCTGTATACAAATGACAACAATTTGCTAAAAATTTTACAAAATTCAAAAGATAAGACCTGACAAAAAGTGAGAATAGAAGATTTATCAGCAGATATTTAGTTTATATTTAGTGTGGGTGGAAGTCCATATCAGTTCAGATATAGAACACTTCAAATAATGTGTTATTTTTATCACGATACAGCTGCAAGTTTCACAGCAAACCATTCACCTATCTACAAAAATAGAACATTATGACATCACACCTCGCAAATCACTTAGTAAAACAAACATGTTTTTTGGGGGGTTTTAAAATTTGATGATGTAGATTTTTAATACCCAATAAATAATCAAACCAACAAATTTTAACTAAATATTGTGTTTGCCAGAAATTGCCTCAGCATGCAAACAGTATTTCAACAAACAAACATTGTATATGACCAGGGCTCGTTACTGTACTTCAAGTTCGATATTTCCTCTTTGTTCACAGCCCCGATTCAATTCTTAAAAACAACCAACAGGAGGTCCACGCTTTGCTCCAAGCCCTCTGTTTCTGAATGAGTTCTCCCTCCCAGTGTTAGCTTTTTCCATTACTAAACCAGAGGGAGCCATTTAAACTGTAGTTGATCAACCGACTCGCAGTATGCCACCAAATGCTAGCTGTCTGAATTATTGTATAAACCCACAGCCACTATTCAACCAAAGCCATTCACATTTTTCTTGAAAGCAGAAGACAAAAATCATCGATACAAAACTAATCATCATTTTATTCCTCTTCTCCTAAGGGGTTCACTTCATAAACAATTCACATTAGAGTTAAAGATTTCTAAAATGCATTTCATTTTCTAGCTATCTACCCTATAACCTAATGGATTTTCCCAAGAGAGCACTGAAAACTCCCACAATGCATGACTTAAGGCTGTCAACCAAACTATCAATAACCACACACATGATACTACTTATTAACAAAATATGGCTACCTTTTCTGCTACTGTGGAATTGAAAAAGATGCCCCCCTTTTTTTCTGTAGAAAACATTTTTATTTCTCCCAAAACAGTTTGAGAATTTATTTATTTTTTAAATAAATTTTCTAGTAAAGTTTGATGCATGTACTAATAACGCAACACGTGGAATCAGCTCAAAATCAAGCCCAATGAAAATCCAATCAATACAGCGCTGTTTTCTTGTTTCATAGAACAATTTGTTTCAATGAATCAGACAGTGTTCCATCATCATTTATGCTACATGATTTCTCTATTTGCGATAATCTCTCTTCTCATCTAATCACCATAGCAACTGCATCAATTCATAGGTTTCTTTTTTCCATAATCGACTAAAAGTCATATTATACCATTTAAAAGTAATTCTTGATCAAGATTGCAATATTTAGCCTGAGCACACCAGACTTGAACTCCTGACACCTTACAGATCCTAATAAAAGTCAATAGCAAAGCTAACCGCTCAGGGTACTTTAAATATATTGGTGCTACCCTGGGACAAGTCAATACATGCATACAAAAAGATAGAACCAGTTCAGAATCAATTCAATATGTTGAACAAGATGAAGACATTTCTACCATGCAGATAAAAGATCAAACCATTCGCTACACAATATCAATTTTTTGTAATTTTACAGATACTGAAATGTATCCGTCTAGTTCACATTAATTTGAACTGAAGATTTAAGTTTAGAAATCCCATACGCCGAGGATAGACTAGAGACACATTGCAGAAATAGATAGGAATTAGCCTCCAAGAAGAAGCTTGTAAAGTTCTTTTAAATCTCAGAATTATTGAGATATCACAAAATTGTCTATTTTATGAAAATTAGATGATTAGTATGAAAGGATTTCAACTCTTATCCCAGAGCACTTGCACATTGAAATCTAATGAGTATGTCAATGATAATAATTGGCTAATTTATGTAAATTAGGTAATTATATGCAAGGTTTCTACCCTAAACAAATTGCATAGGTATGTAGTATTCCAGCCAAACTATGCACCAAGGTTCAATCAAATCTGGTTCTAAAGACATCGAAAAGTTACCAGATTTATGCATGATTTATTTCAACCCTACCAAGTTTCATTGAAATGAGATGATTGGTTCTTGAGATATCAGTTGAACAGAAACCCACTAGGAATGTAAAAACTGGACAAACATCAAAGTGACATCAAAAAAATCAGGTGGGATCAGACTCAAAACTATTTTTTGGACATGTCCACGCTTAATAATATTGTATACACAGAATGTGAAAACTGGACAAACATCGAAGTGACGTCAAAAATCACGTGGGATTAGATGCAGTACTATTTTTTTTGGACATTTCCATTCGATGATGGTTAATTTGGCTTTAGTAAGTGCATCTCAATGCTATATTCAACTCTGGTAGCATTGAACTATTAAAAAAAAGTTCAAAATCAATTGATTTTTTTCAGCAGACATTTAAGAGTGAACAGAAAATCACAAATTAAGTAAATTTTTGTTATTTAGGGGTGATCTCATATTCAAACATGAGGGTCAAACCTACGAAAACCCAAACCGCCCTAAACCGCCCGTACAAAACCCAGTTTTGCGGTTCGTAAGTTTAAACAATAGACAGTGCGGTTCAGGACGACCGCACGAATTTGCATAAAAACTGCGGTTCGAACCGATCTCATTCACACCTCATTCAAGCTGTTGTTTATTTTTAAGATTGACAGAGTTTACATTGCTTTTTGAAGACTAGATAGTTGTCTCTAAAATGTGTCGATTTATTGGTGTACAGTAGTCATTTTACCGTGTGCCTTGCCTAAAAAAACACTCTTGTATATCGGTGAACAGCGTGCTGAATAAATTGTTTTGTTTTGATAAACTGTTACGCCCGAGTCGCAAGTTGAGCAGAGGACGTGAATCAGACTTTTCATTGGGCTGGACAATTGATATGTGTCTCTGACAGCTAATAAGTATCAAAAGGCGAACATTTGTTGATACAAAGTTGCACTTGAGACTTACGCTACTGCGTTTAAGCCTTTACTACTGTTGCGCGTTCAATTTTCAAACAGTTCATTCAGGAGTGCGGCATCGCAAAATCCGGAAAAACAAATGCAGCGTACGCCATGAAAATTTATTTCGATTTGCTGCACATCGGTTATTTGCAGTTTTTCTTATTCAATTTCCAGTGACACGAAGTATCAAAACAGAAAATTTAATAATAAATTAAATGGACTCGCGCTGATTATTTACGCCTATTCATCTGCAGACGAGACTGCTTATAAAAAACGAACCCCGACCTCTGAAAATACCTCATTCATAGAGTGCCTTGTACCTAAGACCGTCGCCCAAGGCGACACAGTGCACGTTGCGATATCGCAATCGATGCATGCTGGGTGACAAGGGGGAATTCTGATTGAGGTAACCAAGATGGCTGCGTTGAGTGCATGATTTTCTGCGGTGTTTAAAACAATACATGTGTATCTCGCTGCCTACTTCGCCCACAGTCCCTCAAGGCACTGTGCTTCGATGTATTTTCTAAAATCATCGTTTATTTTTAATTAACCGGGGGTTCGAAATGTGTGCATTTTGTCACAAAAAAGTAAGATATCGGCAGCGGTAAATACCCGTGTTATGGTGGTCGTAGCGCCGGAGTCGTAGCATTAGCCCCGACTTTAGTTTTGACACAGTGATAGAGGAACTGTGGTTTTCAGATGCCTTCGTAGAAAACAATGTTGCCATTATCGATTTAATACTTTCATCATATTTTGATAACTCGCAGTCTCACAGACTTTACAAACTTAACCAAAAAATGTGTTCTATGAATTTATGAACTGACATGAACACAAAACTGACCGTACTTGTTGCGGACAAAATGTACAAGTTCGCTCCATGGATAAACATATTTTACTGACTATGCCAAATATATATATAACGTAAGTAATTTATCCTAAGAAGCTGCTCATTAAAATTCTAGAGCATCTTTTCCCTGTTCTGTTCCAAACATTAATTTACCATATATATCACAATAGAGAGGGTTTATGGTATCACTTGATTCACATTTAATGACAAAATATAACAAACCATCACGTCTGTAATTAATTCCAGATAAATTGAATAACAATAACAATTGTATTGACTTGTACCAAAATGTAAGTTGTGGGAAACCGATTATTATTACCAATCACAGAAATAAATGAATATAATTTTCATCACACTTATAAATGACATGATGTAAATAGATTTGTGAAACAAATGCAAGTTTGTTTTTATTAGCATTTACATGTACAAGTATTGCAAAGAAAAAAAATCGCTGCTCTAATTCTTAACACTTCACCATAGTATACATCTTATTTTTTTTCCTACTGAAACCAGGCTGAAACAGTATTGTAAGAAAAACCTAGGTTTCCCTAGGTCTGTCTTCTTTGTTCTCTGTTGTTTGTTTTCAGTGGGGGCGTTAATGGGCAGTTAATCCGGAGGTTAGGTTCAAACCTACTACTAATTTGCATATTTTAGGTCTAGTAGGTCTGAATCGGGCAGGTCGGGTAAACCCAGGTTAACCCAGGTTAACCCAGGTTTGACCCAGGTGTTTGAATATGAGATCACCCCTAATTTCGTGGTGATATCTTCAATTACTTAATTTTGATGATTATTTTTGTCATTTTTGGTGAAAAGTGATATTTTTGAATTCTTGTTGAAAACAGCAAGGTCCTTTGCTTTGATACTATACATATTGTTCATTTTCTAATGATATCTTCAGTTCTTTAATTGAAATGTGCATTGCTAACAGCGGAGCTATCTCAGCCGACAGACTGCTTGTTGTCTGATTTTTTTTGGCTATCTAATAGTGATAGCATTTAAAACTTATAGTCACTGAGATATGAATAGGTCTGGGTGAGTTTGCATTGTGATGCAACAAGCATTAACAAATGAGACATTTGTGTAAATTTCAGTTCAGTAATTGTTTAGTTACAATATGAAAAATGCCTGAGATCATTCTGCTGAGCAATATTGAGGACTATCTAA